TCAACGTTATGAACTATTTTTCTTCGATTAGTTGCCATGAAAATGGAAGCATCCATAGACTTTTATTATGCATATTTTGCGCCTTTTCTGCGCTTAAAGTGCCAGAAGATCACAGTTCGATAGCACACAACTCAGCAAGCCTTGATATGACATAGAAAAGCGATGCAACACATTGCAACTGTTGAAGCGTACAGGGAAATACAGAATTTTTTTTTAAATTTAACTGAGCTATTTAAGTCCTCCAGCAACTGTCTACAACTGCGAAATGTATCTGTTAGTGAAAAACGACTTTTTGAAGTCTACTTGTTCTCTTCTCCAGCTTCATCACGAATCACTTCGATTTAAGCATAATTCACGCAAATAAAGTTAGGGTTATCAAAGTATTCAAGTTCCCCTTAATTAGTTGTTAATTTTTTTATTTTCATTAGCCAGATAAACATTTCTAATAAAAATGACACCAATATTCAAAATCCTTTTGTTATTACTGGATTCGAACAAACGGTTCCAGCTACCCGTTACTACACTAAGCTTTTCCAAGGATTTTCACGGTTGCTTCCAGAAATATACAATTTTCAAATGAAAAAAGTGAACAGAGGGCGCAGAGTGAACGAAAGAACGCATATACTGCATCATACAGTACTTCGAATGAATCCAGGCTTTAGCCCTGTGCTGCATAAGACATCCGGCACCTACTGGGATGGTTTTGGTGGTGCAACTGGTGGCACCTTCCGGGGCTCTTGCTCTTCAGCTGGTGGCGCAGCATCCGGAGATGTTCCATTCCGTGATTCGTCCAGTGCTTCTTCCGGGAATTCCAGCTCCCATAAGCGTTTCAAGTGTTTGCCTCGAACATCACGAGGCGTTCCAAAACCCGTCATTCCTTTCTGAAAATATCAAATCGCGTTACTTACAAGTTTGTATTACAATTTCTCAACGGGTTTAAGCAAAACAGTCAAAAAGCATTGTCACATAGTATTTCACATAATGATTTATGGCTTCTTGTTGTTTGGACCGAGAACAGTCTTATGTTTCGTTTGTGAGGATGTCACACAATATTTTACATAATGATTTATGTAGAATATTATGTAACAGCATCCGTGGACTGCGCTGCGATTGTGATTGTTTATAATGCAACATACAAATTTGATTCAGTACTTCGAAATATTCGAGTATCCTAACTTACTTTCTTCTGTCTTCTTTTAAAACTTTTTACTCGGGTTTTTCACTTCTAGAAAAATGTCATAATTTGATTTAGTGATTCGATCAAATTTCTAGCAAAATAACTCATCGTGGTGCATCGACGGCTGGTGTAGTACCTCCAAAGCAATGTTTCTGTTTAAAATCAAGTGGTAGTTGCTCTCCAGGAGAGCCAAGGATACTCGAGCAGTATCTCAAGTATAGCAGATGCCAATAGCTTTTTATGAAAACTATCGATGATTTCTTCTTTCGAGGACTGCTTGGAAGCAAACTGATGGCGGGTTTGACTTCCTGACATGTGCCAGTACCAATTTACCAATCGAAATGAATGAACGAATCGTAGAGAAACTGGTTGTTTCCAAAGCTAGAGGCGAACCCTCGAGTTACTGCATGACAACAATTCTACTTCGCAATGTGCTAAGCCCGACAGCTTGTTCAAAACAAGCCAGT